CTCCTGTGAGGTCTTAGCTGATGCAGGATCGTCACAATTATAGGGTGATGTTTAACATCAATTTGGAACTGCCACCAAGTACAGTGGGTTCTCGGGTTACAAACACCTTCAGTCATGAGCAAATCGACCCACAAACACACTCTCCTACTTCAGTCATGAGCAAATCGACCCACAAACACACTCTTCTACTTCAGTCATGAGTAAATTGACCCACAAACACACTCTCCTACTTCAGTCATGAGCAAATCGACCCACAAACACACTATCCTAACAAATTCGGACTCTACCCGCTAACAGTGCTTCGGTGCACAAACTTGGATTTGGCACCATGTTGTACTCAGGTTTGAGTGTCAGAACACTTGCTGTTGTTTCATTGCTCCTGATGCACTCTGTTTATTGTTTTCTGCATTTAATTAATCCTCATTATGGCTCCCAAGAAAGTGTTTTAGTGGCAATGGAGTAAAGAAGACTAAATGTTTTATAGTAGAAATTAAGAAGCAAATAATTAAACATGGGAATGGTGTTTCTGATCTCATGACACGGCTAAACCTACCATCTGTACTATCTTAAAGAACAAAGTTGCATTAAAGATGGCTGATGTGGCTAAAGGAGTAGCTATTTTAACAAAGCAAAGGTTTAAATGCTAAAAGAAGTGATACAATTATTTTTAGCCAACAAGCAAGCAGACCAACCACTTCCCATGATAGTAACTATCAACCACAAAGGTCAAGTTATAATATTTTATTTATGTTTTTGTCACACATAAAGCCATAAAAAGTATAAAACAATATGTTTCTGGGAAGTGCGAATGGATTAACTGAATCTGTATTTATTTCAACGGAAAAAAATTATTTTGGCTCATAACCATTTCGGTTCAAGGAGTCAAAGAACGAATTAAGTTCATGACCTAAGATACCAAAGTATCTGATGACTTTGTGTGGGACAGGACACCAGTGTCATCAACAGTCCTCATTATCTCTGATTTTATCACATTTTAGACCCAACTCTGACCTCTGGCCAAGTGTTCAGTTTATCTTGCATATAATTGTGGAAAAGGACAGCAGTTCAGTGTCACCAATAAAGTTCAAATCACGACACTGTGTTAGAGTATAGCACATTATCCATGAAATGTTGGTTGCATTACAAAATTAAATGTGATAAATGTCAATTATAAGTCGATACGGCTTTTCTAGATGGCCGAACACAATCATAAAAATAATGAAGCTCTGAGGATACTATACTATTAGTATTACTATGAGTGTGAACATTCACAGTACATAACACCAGACCACGTCTAAACCAACGACTACTAGATAAACAACATATACATTTGAAGAATAAATAAACACTGGCAATCATGTAAATGGGGGCACACAGGTATACCGATATTTACTGCAGTCTTAAGCTTTGTTTCCAATAAACTTTATGCATTCATCGGTGTTTGGACGCATTGTTTTTTGGTTTCGTTTCAAACACAAGGAGTACAGTACACACGTTTTATTTTCGTCGCAGTGACTAGTGATATTTCATGTTAGCTTCAGTATATAAATATAATAACAAGAAAGTGTGAGAGAGCGGCGTGTGTTATCTGGTTATGACGGACTGGCAACAAGAGAGGAAACCAAAGTTTGGACAACAAACAAGCATGGAAACGTTTATACTCGGTCCCAAAAAAACAAGCAACATGGACGGTGCACACAGACTGTCTACGTCATACACAGTGTTTGGGGGGGGGGGGGCGGGCTGTTGACTTCTAGGGCTGCCGAAGTTGGTACTTTCGTACACATTTGGTACAATTTGACCCTTTACAAAACTGTATTTTTTGGTACCACATGCAATATTTTGGTACTTTTTAGAAATGTTGCATCACTAGTTGATATTATCATCAGAAAGCTGATCGCAGACGGCGGGAGAGATGGGCACAGACACCAAGGTGGGATGAAGTAGTCAACACGGCGTGGCTAGAGAGAAGGAAAACTGTCAAGGCGTGGCAAAAGGCCAGGACAATGGATCCGCCACTTTCTGAACGCCTAACCAGTCTAAAAGATGAAGTCAACAACCAGACGGTGGTTTTCAAGCGATGTGCAAAGGAAGCAAAGACGAATTCTGCAAGAGTGTGTGCTCCAATGGATCTCTTGTGATCATGCACGGGCCGCAAGACAAAGGGGTTTCTCTGATTTTCAGAATAAAAACCTGGCAAAACTAACTAAATAACTAACCGACTGACTAACTTACTCACTAACTAACTAATACACTAAGCAAGTAACTAACTGACTAACTAAGTAAGTAACTAACTAACTAAGCAACTAACTAGCTAACTAAGTAACTAAATAACTAACCAACAAATTCACTAACTAACTTACTGACTTACTCACTCACTAACTAATACACTAACACACACAAAAACTAACTGATAAACTAGCTAATTAAGTAACCAACTAACTGAATAACTAACTAAGTAACTAACTAACTAAGCAACTAACTATATAAGTAATTACCTAACTAACTAAATAACTAACTAACTGACTGAATAACTAACTTACAAACTCACTCACTAACTGACTAACTCACTCACTTAATAACCAACTAAGTAACTAACTAACTAAAGTAACTAACTAACTTACAAACTCAATAACTAGCTGACTGACTGACTAACTAACTAATATACTAACTAACTAACTTACAAACTCACTAACTAACTGACTAACTAACTTACAAACTCACTAACTAACTTAATAACTTACAAACTAACTTACTAATTAACTATATAATTAACTAACTAACTAATTAACTAACTTTCTAACTAATTAACTAACTAACTAAACAACCAACCTATCAACCAGCTAACTAACTAAGTAATCATTTCTCTCGCGGTTGTAGAAAGAATTTTCCCTCTGTATAAGAGTATTAATGTTTTGTAAAAATCGATTTTCTTTGTAGATTACACAAAAATTGTATCGAAGAGATCAAACTGTGGCTCCAGGACATTCACTGCACCGACTGGAACGAAAACAAAAGGTACAGCAATGACGTCATGGTCAAAGAACTTCAATTCTGATCAAATATACCATAAGCCAGTGTTTAATGTGTGTGTGTGTGTATGTGTGTGCATTTTATCGTTGTTTTTACCATTTGACATTACCATTAAAAAAAACGTGGTACCCTTGGTGTGTTTTAAAACCTTACCACCATACCCCTCCCCCTCTTTCCCACTAAATTAGTACTTCTTCTACTTTGGTATACTGCTGCCTTCCGCTGAATTGAAAATCAGCTGTACACACGCGTCGTAATTCAAAACAAATGTAAAACAACACAAATTACATTTTAGTCATATAAATATTACATGATATATGAATTTAAAATAACAAATATATATATATATATATATATATATATATATATATATATATATATATATATATATATATATATATATATACTCTTAATACTCCATTGACACTTTATATCTCATTTATAGCCCTGAGGGTTGAACAGGATATTTGTGCAAAATTATTACTACATGTAATAATTGTAACTGACTCACAGAGTATGCTGAGAAATGTGGAGACAGGTATGGTCCATGCAGAGTGGCAAGCATCGCTTCAGAGGTCACGGGTAGTTATCGTCCTTTGGATATTTTCTCAAGGGAATGCTAGTGTGTTGGGCAACGAGCAGGCAGATTGGCTAGTCAATCACTTGGTGGTGAACTGATGTATAACAAGCTGTTTTTTTTTTTTTTTGTGAGGAAGCGAATGAACAGTGAGAAGGGAAAAATAGATCATTACGGTCTGAGGAGAATGGCGTTGCATGGAGTTACCGGGGGGAAAGGGGGGGGGGAATCTGGCCGACGCTCAACACTCAAGGAAAAGGCGAGACGGATGTACGAGTACAAATCAGACAGTTACTAGTACCATCGGAATTGGAACTTTTCGTTTGCTGCTGAAGACGGAGAGGCAGGGCGTGTGGAAGTGTCCCGAGTGACCTGATGTCGATTCTTAATTCGACATTCATTCTTTGGTAATTCTACACAAATTTCGACAGCCCTGCTCACGTCTGCTGGGTTAGGGCGAACATTGATAGTCTTCCACAGAGGGGGACGTGGATTTAGTGTCTTGGTGTATTTTATAAATGGACACTGATTTTACTAAGCTAAGTGTTGACAAACTACTGGAGATTGAAACTGATTGTCACAGAGACGGGGAGGAGATTCATTGTCATGGGAAGCACATTGATAGATGAATCATTCAGGAATGTGGACAGAAATCACTGACTTCTGCATGGTCTTGGATGGTCGTTCACACACGGGCAGATATTGTTGTTGTTGTGTGTGTTTGTGTGTGTGAGGAAACTACATAGTAAAGATATCACTGACAGGGACAAGCTATAGCCCAGGAGATTCGAACCCCACTCCAAGCAAAACATACTTTAAAAATTCCTTTTCCTTCCAGATTTAAGTTTACAAGTATTGTGTGTGTATTTGTTGTACTGTAGCCCGATTTACTTCTTTTAATTTGCACAAGCTGTCCTTAAATTATAAATCGCCAGCAAATCCATGCTACGGTGCAACAGAAAACATCAAACGCTTCATTGAGAACGAAACATCTGAGTTTTGTTCATTACTGTTCTTATACAAACATCTCGACATTGGCAGCTTTTCATAGTCTGATCGAGTGTTTTGTTATTCGGCCATTTCTCGACGTGCTGATCAAATATCTACAGGATTGTGTTATTGCTTCCACGGAGCCCTGATGTGTGTGAACTGTGAACATTCGCCATGTACTTGTGTCAGGCTGGCTAGCACACAGCTGACTGAATGAAGCAACCTGTGACCCCAGCAGCAGGATACGCACGTTAGCCTTGCCCTAGTTCCGCACCACCACACCAGATAAAAGATACAAGCCGCTCCGTTAGTATCTATCTCAGTGAGCGACAGCTCGACTTGAGGCCACAGTTCACTCTTGTTGTTTCAGTTTGGCCACTGTTCATTTGTTGCAGTCAATATGCCGCGAATTGTCGAATGTGTTCCCAACTTTTCAGAAGGCAGAAGTAAAGAGGCAAGTTCTCAGACTTTCGTAGATTCGCAAACTAATTGTAATGTAGCAGTTAATTCTCTGATCACTTTAGTTAGGGCAGAACTCACCTTATCTCCACTAAATAAAAATACACCCATTCTTAATTCTTGATCTATACACATAATTTAATAGGCGTAATTGATTAGGTGCAAGATCAGACCCTTGAGTGAACTGAAGAATGCAAGAGTTCACTTTGAAAATGTTAATTAATGAGTTCTGTCTTTGTCATGTGTTGAATGTCTGTGATCTGCACTAGTAGGTGCAGTTAATAAATTAGGAAAATGTGCACGGTCTTTGAGTGGTCTATGAGTAATGGGATTAAAGTAACATATGGGACAGATGTACACTATAAAGGTGATGGACTACCAGTACTTTATATTATCCTTTGGTCAAAAACAGATTACATCTGTCACCAGGCTATATGAAAATGAACACAGCTTGGAACTACTTCAGCTGAATCTGTTGCAATCTGAATTGTTTCAGTGCGCATTAGACAGACTTAGATTAGAATACATGACTTAATCAGACCTCTCAGTTACACAGAAAACATCCCAGATTGTAAGGTAGCCTAGCAATGCAGTGGCAAGGAAAATGATAGCACTTAATATGAAGTAAAAATATATTCAATATTTGGGTTTGATGCCCAGCTCTCAATTGTAAAAATTTTGTTTCATGTGTAGACAATGTTTGTTTTCTGGAAGGTAGTTTTTTAAAGAATGCTACTTTATAATCTATGCAGTATTAAATAAACGTATTAGACGAAGGTGCCTCTCCAGTATCTGAAGACACAAACTCAGTTGATCCTAATGATAATAACCAAAGATCTCTGATAAGATTACAGTTACTGCAGGGTTCTGTGTGTGCTCTGTCAACAAGGAAGGATGGTGTTTACACAACTGTCATTACTTGTCACATTTGCATATACAAGGTATCTAACTTTCCAGTTTTTAACTCTAATCTCAAGGAATGGATCATACATTCATGGGTTCCTACCTGAAGGCCTAATGAACACAAGGGAGAACTGTGAAAAGGCACAGTGACCCATTCTACCTGGTACAGACTAAGGGAACATTCTTGTTCCATTTTATGTTTGTCGCTTCTTGTTTCTGCTGAGATGCCTCTTGTGGTATGACCGTACATAACTCGTTAGCCTGATACAGTTGATCTGTCATGAGAAAGTGTTCATCTGTTTGGTAGGTGATTGAAGCCATTGCTGCAGCAATTGCTGCCACCTCAGGATGCAGTCTGTTGGACGTAGACCCAGGGCCTTCAACAAACAGGACAGTCTACACATTTGTTGGCAGTCCTGATGCTGTCGTAGAAGGTGCCTTGAGTGCAGCACGAGTTGCCTTTCAGCTGATTGACATGAGAACCCACAAAGGTTAGTTATATCATATGTACCAGAACTTTATAAAAAGTATTCTTATAGTCTATGCTGTGTGCTCTTTGTCATCATTTATGGCAAATATTCTGGTTGTTGAGTGCAACACTAGCTGTCTGTCAGCTTTAGGTTCTGGTTGCTGATTGGAACACTAGTTGTCTAGCAGCTTTAGGTTCAGCCTGCTGAGTGGAACACTAGTTGTCTATCAGCTTTAGGTTCTGGTTGCTGAGTGGAACACTAGTTGTCTATCAGCTGTAGGTTCTCGTTGCTGAGTGGAACACTAGTTGTCTATCAGCTTTAGGTTCTGGTTGCTGAGTGGAACACTAGTTGTCTATCAGCTTTAGGTTCTGGTTGCTGAGTGGAACACTAGTTGTCTATCAGCTTTAGGTTCTGGTTGCTGAGTGGAACACTAGTTGTCTATCAGCTTTAGGTTCTGGTTGCTGAGTGGAACACTAGTTGTCTATCAGCTTTAGGTTCTGGTTGCTGAGTGGAACACTAGTTGTCTATCAGCTTTAGGTTCTGGTTGCTGAGTGGAACACTAGTTGTCTATTAGCTTTAGGTTCTGGTTGCTGAGTGGAACACTAGTTGTCTATCAGCTTTAGTTCTGGTTCTGGAACACTAGTTGTCTGAGTCGTTGCTGAGTGGAACACTAGTTGTCTATCAGCTTTAGGTTCTGGTTGCTGAGTGGAACACTAGTTGTCTATCAGCTTTAGGTTCTGGTTGCTGAGTGGAACACTAGTTGTCTATCAGCTTTAGGTTCTGGTTGCTGAGTGGAACACTAGTTGTCTATCAGCTTTAGGTTCTGGTTGCTGAGTGGAACACTAGTTGTCTATCAGCTTTAGGTTCTGGTTGTTGAGTGGAACACTAGTTGTCTAGCAGCTTTAGGTTCTGGTTGCTGAGTGGAACACTAGTTGTCTATCAGCTTTAGGTTCTGGTTGCTGAGTGGAACACTAGTTGTCTATCAGCTTTAGGTTCTGGTTGCTGAGTGGAACACTAGTTGTCTATCAGCTTTAGGTTCTGGTTGCTGAGTGGAACACTAGTTGTCTATCAGCTTTAGGTTCTGGTTGCTGAGTGGAACACTAGTTGTCTATCAGCTTTATGAGTGGAACACTAGTTGTCTATTAGCTTAAGGTTCTGGTTGTTGAGTGGAACACTAGTTGTCTATCAGCTTTAGGTTCTGGTTGCTGAGTGGAACACTAGTTGTCTGTCAGCTGTAGGTTCTGGTTGCTGAGTGGAACACTAGTTGTCTATCAGCTGTAGGTTCTGGTTGCTGAGTGGAAGACTAGTTGTCTATCAGCTTTAGGTTCTGGTTGCTTAGTCTAACACTAGTTATCTATCAGCTTTAGGTTCTGGTTGCTTAGTGGAACACTAGTTGTCTATCAGCTTTAGGTTCTGGTTGCTGAGTGAAACACTAGTTGTCTGTCAGCTTTAGGTTCTGGTTGTTGTGTGGAACACTAGTTGTCTATCAGGTTTAGGTTCTGGTTGTTGAGTGGAACACTAGTTGTCTATCAGGTTTAGGTTCTGGTTGCTGAGTGGAACACTAGTTGTCTATCAGCTGTAGGTTCTGGTTGCTGAGTGGAAGACTAGTTGTCTATCAGCTTTAGGTTCTGGTTGTTGTGTGGAACACTAGTTGTCTATCAGGTTTAAGTTCTGGTTGTTGAGTGGAACACTAGTTGTCTATCAGGTTTAAGTTCTGGTTGTTGAGTGGAACACTAGTTGTCTATCAGGTTTAGGTTCTGGTTGCTGAGTGGAACACTAGTTGTCTATCAGTTTATCAGGTTGCTGAGTGGAACACTAGTTGTCTATCAGCTTTAGGTTCTCGTTGCTGAGTGGAACACTAGTTGTCTATCAGCTTTAGGTTCTGGTTGCTGAGTGAAACACTAGTTGTCTGTCAGGTTTAGGTTCTGGTTGCTGAGTGGAACACTAGTTGTCTATCAGCTTTAGGTTCTGGTTGTTGTGTGGAACACTAGTTGTCTATCAACTTTAGGTTCTGGTTGCTGAGTGGAACACTAGTTGTCTATCAACTTTAGGTTCTGGTTGCTTAGTCTAACACTAGTTGTCTATCAACTTTAGGTTCTGGTTGTTGTGTGGAACACTAGTTGTCTATCAACTTTAGGTTCTGGTTGCTGAGTGAAACACTAGTTGTCTATCAACTTTAGGTTCTGGTTGCTTAGTCTAACACTAGTTGTCTATCAACTTTAGGTTCTGGTTGCTGAGTAAAACACTACTTGTCTGTCAGCTTTAAAGTGTGAGAAACCATAATGGTTGTTACAGATTATGTCATTTTTGTCACTAGAAAGTTTCACAAACGAAATTACAAATGTGTACTGCCACATGTATCCAACACACGTGTCCTGCTGTGCTGCCATATGACGTTATCTCCTATTTTTTTTCATGATCTCTGTTCTGTGACAGGCTGGAAAAAAACAAAGACTACTGTTCAGCAGCTTGAAGATCTTGATTTAGTCTGGTTTAAAAATGACCTAGAGGACACAGGAACAGCTTTTAGTTTTAGACAGTAAAATTGGGGAAAGTCTGGCCACTGGGAATAAAAAGGCCAACTGACTCAGTATTTGCCACCTATTTGACTTCCTGACGCACGCTGTGGAGACCTACCCTGTTGTAGCTCTGCACTTGGGGCTCACCAGCATGGGTGTGGGCCGACTACAGGGGAAGGCCGGTTGTCAAGCTGATTTCGCAGGCGGTGGTACGTTTCCATATTTAGTCCTGAAATAGTAATCTCTAGTAGTTATACTGTGTAATATGTAGGTGTGTTTTCTCACTAGGATGGCAGGTAGCTATAAGTGAATTTTTGATCAGGTGACATATTCAAGCTTAGCGTACATTTGCTTGATTTAATTTAGGATCTGTAGTCCATGGTTCGTCTAGGTGTATGTACCCATGTAGTTAGGTCATCGTCATGTAACTTACGATATAGATATTCATTGTTTGGGTCTAAGTGAAATATTCTAGGATCTCCGCGCAGAAGAACCCCTGTCTTCTCTTTACTTTGCTGTTCTTGCTGTTTAGCGGAGAACTATTACTTTTTGTCCTAATCACTAATTTTCTTTTATCTTCCCTGCTTCTGTGTTTTTCCTTTTCTTTCTTCCCGCTAGCACAAATCTTGTACTAAAAGCAAAGCAGAGAGGGAAACTTGTAATGGAGGAAAGAGAAGAGATAACTATAAAGGATAATATGGAAATCTCCTTCTTGAAATCTCCCTCACTCCGAACCTACAAGAGTTTTAACAATGTGACGTGGCGAGTGGGAGCCAAAACCCAACCTTAAGCTGCCTCATTAACAAGAAAAAAAAGGGAAAAAGTTTGTTTAGGCGGGGGTAAGATCAAGAGTATCTCACCCTGACAGAAAATCTTCTGTATAAAGTCTAGATCAGCCAAGCAACAAATACTAAACTAGGCACACTAACCACAAGTCCTAATCTTAACTAAAGACAACTGGAACTATGATCAAAACATTGAACATCTGTTTATTTCACTTAACATAAAATCAGCGTGGTCCACAAATAACATCAACAACAACCAACGTGCTTGACCACAATCTGAAGCGATCATCAGCTAACAAGGAAATATGATAATGACACCATACACTCAGCGAGATTACCTCAACAATGGCAAAAACCGAAACATATTTAACATGTACGTTAAGCTTCAATATGCCAACAAATCACTTATATCGACCTACCATCAAACTACCTCCTAGCGAGAATACAAAATGGAAATCAAATCTAACACCACTGGAGAAATTTCAGACTTAACTGTGGAAACATACCATCATCGAAAACGAGCCTGTCCGATCTGACACACCTGTGCATTGAAACTAAGTGCAGTCAACAATGGCGGACAGGGCGTCTTGACCATACCATGCTGACCACAGAACGACCGCCAAATAGGAGGCAAATACTGAGTCAGTTGGACTTTTTATACCCAGTGCCCAGACTTTTCCCCAATTTTACTGTATAAAACTAAAAGCTGTTCCTGTGGCCTCTTTGGCCTGTGACAGTTCCCTTCCAACTTTGCTGTTGTTGCAAAGTATTTAGATATTTCCTTTTTCTTGTCATGTTCAGAGCCTGTCTACTCCTGATGCAAGTAACTGACACGATATCATTAAAAGTGTCTTTACACAGTGATTTATTTTAAAACATTTTCAAAGTGGGATTTTGTTTTAGATGTCTTCATATCTTATAATTAAACTGAAATGTGGTGAAAACAAATACATTAACATTAGGAAAATGTTTCCATCATTGCCGATGAGTTTCCTCTCTTAGGAAAATGTTTCCATCATTGCCGATGAGTTTCCTCTCTTAGGAAAATGTTTCCATCATTGCCGATGAGTTTCCTCTCTTAGGAAAATGTTTCCATCATTGTCGATGAGTTTCCTCTCTTTGGAAAATATTTCCATCATTGCCGATGAGTTTCCTCTCTTTGGAAAATGTTTCCATCATTGCCGATGAGTTTCCTCTCTTAGGAAAATGTTTCCATCGTTGCCGATGAGTTTCCTCTCAGGAATAGAACTTTACATGTTCTTGCTGGCCAAGAGTGATAGTGATAAAACATCATTTATGTGAACTCTTCAGTAAACAATGGAACAAAGCTATGAAGACCAAGAAACCACACAGGGAGGGATGTCATAAGTGTTGAACTGTGTTGCTGTGTCCTTTCTTTGAAAGAGCCCAGGATCCTGTTTCCAGGTCATGTGTTATACTGAAAATAATAATTAGGTCTAATTAGAGTAAGAGTCACAGTTGCACACCTGCCAGACAGTGGCTTGAAGGTTTTGAGTTTAAACCCATATTGAGGCAGTTTTATCAGGAGTGACCCAGCCTCAAATGGGAACCAGGAAATGTCACGGGAAGCAAATGTGACCAACCTGATGTTGAGCACATCAGCCATCATTTGCTGATTGGTCTATAAACAACAACATATGCCAGATGCACCATTGATGTAAGCAGATTCCTTGACTTGACTGACTGACTTATAACTGATTGTGTGGGATCACACTTACAGGTGAGCATCCCAGAATGGGTGCCTTGGATGTTTGCCCTTTCATCCCAGTTCAGGATGTGACTATGGAAGATTGCATCAAATGTGCTCAGGAGTTTGGTGAAAGATTGTCCGCAGAGCTAGAAGTGCCAGGTAAGCATCCAGGATTACAGTATATTGTACATGGAAATATAGAATTCTCTGACAATTTCCTTGCGTTTTTTTAGTCCTTAAAGTTGTATTACAGATATATCCATCTTATATATCCATACTGGATCGAATTTCTGTGTCTGGTTGCTACTTTTTTTTTAATGGACTGTATATTCTGGGTAAGACGTGCTACACATTTGTAACTTGTACTATTTTGTTTGTTGGAGATTTCAGCACAAGTTAGGAACACTTTTCCCTGGCTATGAAGTGTCCTGTGCAGTGTTCTTATTTTCTCCGCATCTGTGTGCTCCGTCAGGTTACAGTTTCTTGTCTTTTAAGCGTTCTGCAAATAACAGTCTGTGCTGACCTTGACCTTGGTTAGGGGTCTGTTCTAATAATAGGTGTGTCCACTGAGTAGTAAATAGAGTAGACTCTTGGTGTCTAGGCTAGCCACAGATATAGCCACGTGATAGGACCGTTGGCAGGTAATAGGCGTCCTTCATAACCTCTTCCTCCTGCTGCCTTGCTGACGATGGCTGTTGGGAGTCAAACCATGCACAAACTGGAAGGCTTTTATAATTTTTACATAATTTTGTTCTACCATATTATTATAGGAGCAAAAGCTGAACATGTTGTGACCAATAAAAAGTTTTGTGGAAACTGAGATAAGATAATGTGAGTAGATTCTTGACAGCTTTTTTAAATGAAATGTATGGGTGTCAGCACATGAGCTGATAAATACTGTTGGAGAGGTTGTGGAGAGTTATGACACCCATGCCAGTCACAAAGGCACTTGATGTTGATGATGATGATCTATACATAGGAGGATTCTGTAGCCATGGAGATATTAAAGTAAATTGTGGATTTTCCTCCTCATTGTCTGCTTTTCCTTCCCCACCTCCCAAATCCCTCCTTAAGTGTGTCAGTCTCAGGTTTGAAGACTAAATCTAGGGAGAATTTTGGTGTCTGGTCAACACATGAGGGTATTCCTAGCTTCAAATAGTTTATGTATCCTTCTGTTTGCAAGGGCAACATCTGTTTCCATCGTTGTTAGTGCTAGCAGTTTTTGCAGAGGGCACTGTCAAGCACAGTTGCCTGCTGGAAGGTACAATACTGGGCACAGTTGAAAAGGTTACACCAGATAAAACTTGTATGAAACAACTACATATTTGTCAATGAAAACTTACATATAATTACTTAGAGTAGTGCAAGACAAATAACTATGGAATAGAATGACCGAGAACTTTCATCATCAGCCTAAGAGAGAAAATCTTGGTTATGATGTTGTTGATTATGAATCATGTGTCGGAACTCAGGGGATGATGTCAGTATTGTGTTGTCTGTCCGCCTTTATTTCCCATGACATCCATAGTAACAGTGTTAGGCTTGGCTCGACCTGGGCACCTCATTGAGAATCACATCTACCACCACCATGCTGAGAGACAAACTTGTGATACTTTGTGTATGTGCTGAACATGTATCCACTGTGAAACCTGGATCTTGGTAAAACTGTGTGCTGAACATGTATCCACTGTGAAACCTGGATCTTGGTGAAACTGTGTGCTGAACATGTATCCACTGTGAAACCTGGATCTTGTGAAACTATGTGCTGAACATGTATCCACTGTGAAACCTGGACCTAGGTGAAACTATCTGCTGAACATGTATATACTGTGAAACCTGGATCTTGGTGAAACTGTGTTGAACATGTATCCACTGTGAAACCTGGACCTTGTGAAACTATGTGCTGAACATGTATCCACTGTGAAACCTGGACCTAGGTGAAACTATCTGCTGAACATGTACCCACTGTGAAACCTGGATCTTGGTGAAACTATCTGCTGAACATGTACCCACTGTGAAACCTGGATCTTGGTGAAACTATCTGTTGAAATGTACCCACTGTGAAACCTGGATCTTGGTGAAACTATCTGTTGAAATGTACCCACTGTGAAACCTGGATCTTAGTGAAACTATCTGTTGAAATGTACCCACTGTGAAACCTGGATCTTGGTGAAACTATCTGTTGAAATGTACCCACTGTGAAACCTGGATCTTGGTGAAACTGTGTGCTGAACATGTATCCACTGTGAAACCTGGATCTTGGTGAAACTATCTGTTGAAATGTATCCACTGTGAAACCTGGATCTTGGTGAAACTGTGTGCTGAACATGTATCCACTGTGAAACCTGGATCTTGGTGAAACTATCTGTTGAAATGTATCCACTGTGAAACCTGGATCTTGGTGAAACTGTGTGCTGAACATGTATCCACTGTGAAACCTGGATCTTGGTGAAACTATCTGTTGAAATGTATCCACTGTGAAACCTGGATCTTGGTAAAACTGTCATGTTCTTTTACTGACAGTGTTCTTGTATGGTGCTGCTTCAAGTGTAGACTACAGGAAGACATTGCCCCAAGTGAGAGCTGGAGAATATGAAGGTCTTCAGGAAAAGGTCAGAAGCTGTTTGAATATCGCGGCGTTGTTTATTTGTTTAGTCCTGTTCACGTTTCCTGGCGCATGTGCACACTACCTAACCTTTCATTCATACTTTCTCAGACTCTTCTACGTCGGAGGGGTGTCATATTGTCTTCCCTCCTATTACATCAGCGCTGATGTTGCGTGTTCTATACTACACGACGACACAGCTTTCATTGAGCCCAGACCATGTTGTACAGGCCTGAACCTAAACGCCCCTACTCACAGCCTCCACCTAGCTCACATGAGAGACTCTTTTGGAAGAAAGCAGTACAACATGACACCCCTATGACCTAGATCAGACTGAGAAAGTGTGTAGATGGGCCGGCAAACGTGAACAAGTCCATTTGCTTATATTATTATTGTGACTTTTGAATTGTGGCAGTTAGTACTTGCCATTTGCCATATTCTTGCTCCTAAAAAAAGTCTCAGTGCTTTGTTGATGTGATGTCCTCAAGGGACTATTGTATATTCTTTAGAGGATAGTAACTTTGTAAAGTAGGTGTTACAATGATTTGTATTTTCTTCGAAGTCTGTAATTTGTCTGCAGTATATCTTCTTGTTTGAAGCCTGTAGTTTGTCTGCAGTATATCTTCTTGTTTGAAGCCTGTAGTTTGTCTACAGTATATCTTCTTGTTTGAAGCCTGTAGTTTGTCTGCAGTATATCTTCTTGTTTGAAGCCTGTAGTTTGTCTGCAGTATATCTTCTTGTTTGAAGCCTGTAGTTTGTCTGCAGTATATCTTCTTGTTTGAAGCCTGTAGTTTGTCTGCAGTATATCTTCTTGTTTGAAGCCTGTAGTTTGTCTGCAGTATATCTTCTTGTTTGAAGCCTGTAGTTTGTCTGCAGTATATCTTCTTGTTTGAAGCCTGTAGTTTGTCTGCAGTATATCTTCTTGTTTGAAGCCTGTAGTTTGTCTGCAGTATATCTTCTTGTTTGAAGCCTGTAGTTTGTCTGCAGTATATCTTCTTGTTTGAAGCCTGTAGTTTGTCTGCAGTATATCTTCTTGTTTGAAGCCTGTAGTTTGTCTGCAGTATATCTTCTTGTTTGAAGCCTGTAGTTTGTCTGCAGTATATCTTCTTGTTTGAAGCCTGTAGTTTGTCTGCAGTATATCTTCTTGTTTCTTCTTAGTGTTCACCAGCTGTAAACTGCCGTGGAATCTTCTGGTTGTTCATCCACTTTTGAACTTGAGTGTTTGTTTTTTTCCCAGAAAAACTTTGCATGCATATCCATTTTACAGATTTGGTTTACCTGTATGCAGAATGTTGGTTCCCCACCTCTCAGGTAGATGCACAAGGAAAAAATCCTAATTAGTAGGACATTTGTAGGTCAGTTGTTAAATTTTTACTCAAGAATCTAATTGTTAAGTAGTTGTTATATTTGGCTGTGTCTCTGCTAAACTAGTTATAAAATAAGTTACTAAACAACATGGAATGGTTTCCTAACTTTATCAAACTGTTTGTACAACATTTTTCTATTCTAGTTGAAAGACCCTAAATGGAAGCCCGATTATGGACCGCCAGAGTTTGTTCCCTCTTGGGGTGCCACGGCTGTGGGTGCTAGGAAGTTTCTGATTGCTTACAACATTAACCTGCTGGCAACAAAAGAACAGGCACACCGCATAGCGCTTGATATACGAGAAAATGGACGGGGTGACGGCCAGGTATTTTAAACAATTTTTTTTCAATTTTCATGTCTTTTTTTTTCTCAAGTAGTGTTTGATTAGATCATAGACCAGTAAAAAGTTCTAAATTAGAAGATGCCAGCAGCAAAAGTGTACGACATTATGGAGACTCCAAGCAGTAGAGGAGGACCTAGAATAATGTGGACTGAAGGAGTTGCTGACAGCCTAAAACTTCACATCACAGCATATCAGGCAATAGTGTGTTTCTCTGGTCAGCTGTTACACCTCACAGCACAAAGCTCGTAGGTGACAGAAGTCAGTGCCCTTCCACAGCTGAACACTCGCAGAACTTTTGTAGTGAAACAATGAACATTGCACTCTTATTTGTGCATTTATTTTGACTAAGATATGTTGTTTCTAGTTATTAGTGCGTTTACAGATGGCTGTGAAACTGACCTTAACCGCTGAACTGGATAAGAAGATACAAGCATTAGAAATGTGATCTTTCCCAAAAATTATTGGCATATCATACAGAGACCACATCACAAATGATGAGGTTCAATACAGAGACCACATCACAACTGATGAGGTTCAATACAGAGACCACATTACAACTGATGAGGTTCAATACAGAGACCACATTACAACTGATGAGGTTCAATACAGAGACCACATTACAACTGATGAGGTTCATTGTATAATTACCTAGCATATGGATAACTATGAACCTTGAACTACAGTGAATAGATGGGAAATGCAATGGTATGGACATATAATAAAATCTAACAGCCTCTCAAAAATACTACTACAGAGCTCAGTAGAGGTGAAGAGTTGAAGAGGCAGACCAGGAAAGACCTGGTTACAGAACCTGACTGACTGAACAGGCCTCAGGCATGTAGCCATGAAGTCCATTGCATCCGACCATCAAAGGTGAAAGGAGCAGATCAGACAGTCAACAACAACTGGTGACCCAAATATACGCAGTGTTATGGGGGGATAATGATGATGATGTTTCATCTTGGTTTAGGGTATTATAACCACCTGCTTATTTTTGTACAAGAACAGTAAGCAGTCAAGCACTAGCATTTGTGTACAAGCTTCTGTAAAGTTCCAGGCTACAGTCGTACAGCAACCAAGAAAGCCAAACTCTAAGATTTGTGTAATTGTCTGGGGATTGTAACAAATACACTAGAAAATAGCATAAAGTACTTTGAGGGACAAATTTAGTTTCCCCTTATAATTTTCTGAAGGAGACAAAGCACTTGTGTAGTATCATTTTATCATAGGAATTGCAATGTAGTCACTCAGAACATGAATAGTCATGACATCATCCAACCACAGAATGTAGGCACCCAGAACATGAATAGTCATGACATCATCCGACCACAGTATTTAGGCACTCAGATCATGAATAGTCATGACATCATCCAACCACAGAATTTCAGCACTCAGAACATGAATAGTCATGACATCATCCAACAACAGAATTTAGGCACTCAGAACATGAATAGTCATGACATCATCCAACCACAGAATTTAGCCACCCAGAACATGAATAGTCATGACATCATCCAACCACAGAATTTATTCACTCAGAACATGAATAGTCATGACATCATCCAACCACAGAATTTATTCACTCAGAACATGAATAGTCATGACATCATTCAACAACAGAATTTAGGCACTCAGAACATGAATAGTCATGACATCATCCAACCACAGAATTTAGGCACCCAGAACATGAATAGTCATGACATCATCCAACCACAGAATTTCAGCACTCAGAACATGAATAGTCATGACATCCAACAACAGAATTTAGGCACTCAGAACATAAATAGTCATGACATCATCCAACCACAGAATTCAGGCACCCAGAACATGAATAGTCATGACATCATCAAACCACAGAATTTAGGCACTCAGAACATGAATAGTCATGACATCATCCAACCACAGAATGTAGGCACCCAGAACATGAATAGTCATGACATCATCCAACCACAGAATTTATTCACTCAGAAAATTAATAGTCATGACATCATCCAACAACAGAATTTAGGCACCCAGAACATGAATAGTCATGACATCATCCAACCACAGAATTTCAGCACTCTGAACATGAATAGTCATCATCCAACAACAGAATTTAGGCACTCAAAACATGAATAGTCATGACATCATCCAACCACAGAATTTAGGCACCCAGAACATGAATAGTCATGACATCATCCAACCACAGAATTTAGCACTCAGAACATGAATAGTCATGACATCATCCAACAACAGAATTTAGGCACTCAGAACATGAATAGTCATGACATCATCCAACCACAGAATGTAGGCACTCAGAACATGAATAGTCATGACATCATCCAACCACAGAATTTAGGCACTCAGAACATAAATAGTCATGACATCATCCAACCACAGAATTTAGGCACCCAGAACATGAATAGTCATGACATCATCCAACCACAGAATTTAGGTACCCAGAACATGAATAGTCATGACATCATCCAACCACAGAATTTCAGCACCCAGAACATGAATAGTCATGACATCATCCAACCACAGGATTTAGGCACCCAGAACATGAATAGTCATGACATCATCCAACCACAGAATTTCAACACTCAGAACATGAATAGTCATGACATCAACCAACAACAGAATTTCAGCACTCAGAACATGAATAGTCATGATATCATCCAACAACAGAATTTAGGCACTCAGAACATGAATAGTCATGACATCATCCAACAACAGAATTTAGGCACTCAGAACATGAATAGTCATGACATCATCCAACCACAGAATTTAGGCACTCAGAACATGAATAGTCATGACATCATCCAACCACAGAATTTAGGCACCCAGAACATGAATAGTCATGACATCATCCAACAACAGAATTTAGGCACTCAGAACATGAATAGTCATGACATCATCCAACCACAGAATTTAGGCACCCAGAACATGAATAGTCATGACATCATCCAACTACAGAATTTAGGCACCCAGAACATGAATAGTCATGACATCATCCAACAACAGAATTTAGGCACCCAGAACATGAATAGTCATGACATCATCCAACCACAGAATTTAGGCACTCAGAACATGAATAGTCATGACATCATCCAACAACAGAATTTAGGCACCCAAAACATGAATAGTCATGACATCAACCAACCACAGAATTTAGGCACCCAGAACATGAATAGTCATGACATCAACCAACCACAGAATTTAGGCACCCAGAACATGAATAGTCATGACATCATCCAACAACAGAATTTAGGCACCCAGAACATGAATAGTCATGACATCATCCAACAACAGAATTTAGGCACTCAATTTCTGCATTTGTGAAACTTGCTGTCAATGCTGACTTTCAGCCAGGCCGATTAAAGTGTGTGCAAGCTATTGGTTGGTACCTGGAGGAAGCCAACATGGCCCAGGTGTCCGTTAACATCACTGACTTTGAGGTGACTGCGATCCACACAGTCTATGAAGAATGTGTCAAGGAAGCTCAGGTAATCAGTAATAACTTAACAATGTGCTGTTGTTTTTGCTATTCTTGTTGTTAATGTTGAATTAAATGTTGAAAGTTAAACTGAGAATCAACATCATAGCACTCTGGACACTCCCATAAGCGCTCCATCCTCATCCTTTGCAGCAAGCGAAAAGTTCCAGTTCTGATAGCACCAGTAACTGTCTGATTGTATATGTGTCTCCCCCTTCTCTTGATTGTTGAGCGTCGGCCAAATCCCCTGGTAACTCCTCGCAGCACCATTCTCTTAGACCATAATAATCTATTCGTGCTTCCACGCTGTTCACTTGCTGTCAATTTTGTGTTAGTTTGATGGGATATAGGTCAGAGGTCACTTTAGGGGAGATCCTCACTAGACCCACAGAGGTAATCACCAGTCCCAAGAGATAGTTCTCAAGATTCATTAGGTGAAAATGTGTTGAGTTCTCAACTTCCTGTTCCAAGTTTGAAGATTCTGATCTGCTATTTGCCATCCAGCTTGTTAATGCTGTCGTGCTGTGGTCTGATTATTTTGTTTTCTTCAAAAGAATTTGTTTAAGGTTTTGATTTGTCTTCTTTTGCATTTTATAACTTAAATGTCAGATTAAGCCAGTCAAGTCATAGGCCAGATGTCACCAGTTTTGAAATGTGAGCATTTGAATATGAACACTAAAAGAGCACTGTTCAACACAGTATTCTTACCAATGCTAGGCTATCAGTGTCACACATGGACACTGTCTTCAAAAGACAGAAGGAAAATAATTACGCAGAAATGAAATGTTTATGTAGTATATGAGGTGAAACAAGGAAAGATCGACTTAGGAACAATGATTCCAGAAGCAGAGTTGGCACAGAACCAACAAGAACTTTATCGGTAAACAAATAGAATCAAATGGTTTGGCCATGTAACAAGATTGGTATCAGGCAGGGCACCAAAGAGTTATACAGATGCAGTGGTAACAGAGCCAAAGGTCGATCAGGCAGATGGACCGCAGACATTTCAAAGACACTGAAAAGTACCATATTCGAAGCGAACAGAAAGGCCGTTTCCAGAGATCTCTTCCTCCCCTGATGCTGCAAGGCATTTCAGGAGTAGAGGAAAGAAGAAAGAAGAAGATGCCAGATTTGAGAAACCTATTCTGTGATAAAAGCATGCTTGGCAAATAGTCGACATTATTGTGATATAGCAAGCACTTGTCTTGTGTTTCAGGAACTCAACATAGCAGTTGTGGGCTCCCAGATTGTTGGTCTGGTTCCCCAGCAAGCAATGATGAACACCGCTGACCACTACCTGCAGAAGGAGAACTTGTTCATCCTGGAGGAGGATCAGAAGCTGAGACTGGTAATCACTTTTGGGAATCTGTCCTTTCTGTGTACATCACTGGCAGACTTTTGAACATCACTGACAGACTTGTGAACATCACTGGCAGACTTGTGTACATCACTGACAGACTTGTGAACATCACTGACAGACTTGTGTACATCTCTGGCAGACTTGTGAACATCACTGGCAGACTTGTGTACATCTCTGGAAGACTTGTGTACATCTCTGGCAGACTTGTGTACATCTCTGGCAGACTTGTGTTAATCTCTGACAGACTGAACATCACTTGCAGGCTTATGTACATCTCTGGCAGACTTGTGAACATCACTGCCAGACTTGTGTACATCACTGACAGACTTATGTACATCTCTGGCAGACTTGTGTACATCACTAGCAGACTTGTGTACATCACTAGCAGACTTGTGTACATCACTGGCTGATGTGTACATTTTTGACACACTTGTGTACATCTCTGGCAGACTTGTGTGCATCACTGCCAGACTTGTGTACATCACAGGCAGACTTGTGTACATCTCAGGCAGACTTGTGTACATCACAGGCAGACTTGTGTACATCACTGCCAGACTTCTGTACATCATTGGTAGACTTGTGTACATCTCTGGCAGACTTGTGTGCATCACTGGCAGACTTGTGTACTTCACAGGCAGACTTGTGTACATCACAGGCAGACTTGTGTACATCTCTGGCAGACTTGTGTGCATCACTGCCAGACTTGTGTATATCTCTGACACACTTGTGTACATCTCTGGCAGACTTGTGTATATCATTGGTAGACTTGTGTACATCTCTGGCACACTTGTGTACATCACTGGCAGACTTGTGTATATCATTGGCAGACTTGTGTACATCTCTGGCAGACTTGTGTGCATCACTGGCAGACTTGTGTACATCTCTGACACACTTGTGTACATCTCTGGCAGACTTGTGTATATCATTGGTAGACTTGTGTACATCTCTGGCACACTTGTGTACATCACTGGCAGACTTGTGTATATCATTGGTAGACTTGTGTACATCACTGGCAGACTTGTGTATATCATTGGTAGACTTGTGTACATCTCTGGCACACTTGTGTACATCACTGGCAGACTTGTGTACATCACTGGCAGACTTGTGTATATCATTGGCAGACTTGTGTACATCTCTGACACACTTGTGTACATCACTGGCAGACTTGTGTATATCATTGGTAGACTTGTGTAAATCTCTGACAGACTTGTATATATCATTGGTAGACTTGTGTACATCTCTGACAGACTTGTGTACATCTCTGGCAGACTTGTGTATATCTCTGGCAGACTTGTGTATATCTCTGGCAGACTTGTGTATATCATTGGCAGACTTGATTGCTGGACATGTGAGACTTGGCCAGTGATTCTACAGTTTGACAATGTTCAAGAAGAAGGTGACCTGACTATCTGAATAAATGCACAAATGTTAAAATGAATAAATCAAAGTGCCATTTCCAAGATTAAGTTTAAAAGATCTACAATAAAATGCTTATCAATCTCTGCTCAGCCGCTGAAGTAAAGCTACTGTAAATGTTTAATGCCAGCTGTGCCTCAAGCAGGCTGTGTGTGCAGACTACAGAACATGTCCAGCAAGATTTCCCTTGTACAGCCCATTAAGAATGGAATACTGGCCCACTGAGTCACCACCGTTCTCAGAGTTATATGTTTACTAATATCAGAGTTATATAGAACTGGAAGGTAACTCCTAGAAACAGTCAAGTTTATCACAAGAACTCGTCTCTCGCTTTAAATCAGAAAGCAAACACAAGAAGAAGGAGAAGATCATAAATAAATGTAGATTCTTTGTATCTGAAAAAATACATCCCCCTGAAAATAAACCCGAATGTATTTTGTAAAGAAAAAATAATATGACCTGTTCTAGTATTCAGTAATAGTTGCAGTATTCATATTTGACTGTTTGTGATGGAACTGGATTCTCCATAAACAAAAGAGGACTAGATTATCATAATTAAAACTGGATTGCATTGATAAAAGAAACATCGTAATTTAGTTTGCCAGTTTAAATTGGATTGGACAAAAAAGCATATTCATGCTCTAATGTATATATTGTTTATATATGACAGGTGATTAATCGACTGGGTCTGAATTCCTTGGGAGCTTTCAATGCTAAAGAAAGAATTGTGGAGTAAGTTCATGTTTTCTCATTTCTTGAGTTCTACAGGATAGGTCTGTATGAAGCTGGCCATTTTCTAATGTGCTAGCTTTTGAGCCGATTAAATGCCCATGTTTTAATGTTTGTGTTTTAAAAAATAGATAAGCACTTGTTTATGACCCACTTTGTGTCAGATAAATATTGAGGTCAGCTGTTGTGACCTTGTAAATGCGAAGTTACCATCTGTAGTAGTGTTTTTGTTCTGGCGAAAAGTGTAACAAGCCTGCAGAGGTTAAGAATTGAAATATCATACAGCTAGATTTTCTCTGTTGACGTGAAGGTCCTCAGCATATTGATATAGCCGTCATCAACAATTAGATGATCATTGAGAAAAGGGACAAGTCATATACAGTGTTAGTCACAGGGGTAGATTCAAGAAGAAGATTAAAGGGCAGTGGTCACTAAATCACAAACGAGTGAATATTGAAAGCAAGTCAGAGCATCATGCTCACCAGAATGTGGGCCCACATGTGGATGTGGCAAAGTTCTGTCACAAGTGAACCACACATTTTGAGTGTAGCAAAGTGCTGTGCCAAGTGAACCACACATTATGTCTGTAGCAAAGTTCTGTCACAAGTGACCCACACATTTTGAGTGTAGCAAAGTTCTGTGCCAAGTGAACCACACATTATGTGTGTAGCAAAGTTCTGTCACAAGTGACCCACACATTTTGAGTGTAGCAAAGTTCTGTCACAAGTGACCCACACATTATGTGTGTAGCAAAGTTCTGTCACAAGTGACCCACACATTTTGAGTGTAGCAAAGTTCTGTCACAAGTGACCAACACATTTTGAGTGTAGCAAAGTTCTGTCACAAGTGATCCACACAGTGTGAGTGTAGCAGAGTTCTGTGACAAGTGACACACACATTGTGAGTGTAGCAAAGTTCTGTCACAAGTGACCCACACATTATGAGTGTAGCAAAGTTCTGTCACAAGTGACCCACACATTGTGAGTGTAGCAGAGTTCTGTCACAAGTGACACACACATTCTGAGTGTAGCAAAGTTCTGTCACAAGTGACCCACACATTATGAGTGTAGCAAAGTTCTGTCACAAGTGACCCACACATTGTGAGTGTAGCAGAGTTCTGTCACAAGTGACCCACACATTATGGATGTAGCAAAGTTCTGTCACAAGTGACCCACACATTGTGAGTGTAGCAGAGTTCTGTCACAAGTGACCCACACATTGTGATTGTAGCAGAGTTCTGTCACAAGTGACCCACACATTGTGAGTGTAGCAGAGTTCTGTAACAAGTGACCCACACATTGTGAGTGTAGCAGAGTTCTGTCACAAGTGACCCACACATTATGAGTGTAGCAGAGTTCTGTGCCAAGTGACCCACACATTGTGAGTGTAGCAGAGTTCTGTGCCAAGTGACCCACACATTATGAGTGTAGCAGAGTTCTGTGCCAAGTGACCCACACATTGTGAGTGTAACAGAGTTCTGTGCCAAGTGAACCACACATTATGTGTGTAGCAAAGTTCTGTCACAAGTGACCCACACATTTTGAGTGTAGCAAAGTTCTGTGCCAAGTGAACCACACATTATGTGTGTAGCAAAGTTCTGTCACAAGTGACCCACACATTTTGAGTGTAGCAAAGTTCTGTGCCAAGTGAACCACACATTATGTGTGTAGCAAAGTTCTGTCACAAGTGACCCACACATTTTGAGTGTAGCAAAGTTCTGTCACAAGTGACCCACACATTTTGAGTGTAGCAAAGTTCTGTCACAAGTGACCCACACATTGTGAGTGTAGCAAAGTTCTGTCACAAGTGACCCACACATTATGAGTGTAGCAAAGTTCTGTGACAAGTGACCCACACATTGTGAGTGTAGCAGAGTTCTGTCACAAGTGACCCACACATTATGGATGTAGCAAAGTTCTGTGCCAAGTGACCCACACATTGTGAGTGTAGCAAAGTTCTGTCACAAGTGACCCACACATTATGAGTGTAGCAGAGTTCTGTCACAAGTGACCCACACATTATGAGTGTAGCAAAGTTCTGTGACAAGTGACCCACACATTGTGAGTGTAGCAGAGTTCTGTCACAAGTGACCCACACATTATGGATGTAGCAAAGTTCTGTGCCAAGTGACCCACACATTGTGAGTGTAGCAAAGTTCTGTCACAAGTGACCCACACAATATGAGTGTAGCAGAGTTCTGTCACAAGTGACCCACACATTATGAGTGTAGCAAAGTTCTGTGCCAAGTGACCCACACATTATGAGTGTAGCAAAGTTCTGTCACAAGTGACCAACACATTATGAGTGTAGCAGAGTTCTGTGCCAAGTGACCCACACATTGTGAGTGTAGCAGAGTTCTGTCACAAGTGACCCACACATTGTGAGTGTAGCAGAGTTCTGTGACAAGTGACCCACACATTATGAGTGTAGCAAAGTTCTGTCACAAGTGACCCACACATTAGGAGTGTAGCAAAGTTCTGTCACAAGTGACCCACACATTGTGAGTGTAGCAAAGTTCTGTCACAAGTGACCCACACATTATGGATGTAGCAAAGTTCTGTCACAAGTGACCCACACATTGTGAGTGTAGCAAAGTTCTGTCACAAGTGACCCACACATTATGAGTGTAGCAAAGTTCTGTCACAAGTGACCCACACATTATGGATGTAGCAAAGTTCTGTCACAAGTGACCCACACATTGTGAGTGTAGCAAAGTTCTGTCACAAGTGACCCACACATTGTGAGTGTAGCAAAGTTATGTCACAATTGACCCACACATTAGGAGTGTAGCAAAGTTCTGTCACAAGTGACCCACACATTATGAGTGTAGCAAAGTTCTGTCACAAGTGACCCACACATTATGGATGTAGCAAAGTTCTGTCACAAGTGACCCACACATTATGAGTGTAGCAAAGTTCTGTCACAAGTGACCCACACATTCTGAGTGTTGCAAAGTTCTGTCACAAGTGACCCACACATTGTGAGTGTAGCAAAGTTCTGTCACAAGTGACCCACACATTATGAATGTAGCAAAGTTCTGTCACAAGTGACCCACACATTATGGATGTAGCAAAGTTCTGTCACAAGTGACCCACACATTGTGAGTGTAGCAAAGTTCTGTCACAAGTGACCCACACATTGTGAGTGTAGCAGAGTTCTGTCACAAGTGACCTACACATTGTGAGTGTAGCAAAGGTCTGTCACAAGGGACCCACACATTATGAGTGTAGCAAAGTTCTGTCACAAGTGACCCACACATTGTGAGTGTAGCAAAGTTCTGTCACAAGTGACCCACACATTATGGGTGTAGCAAAGGTCTGTCACAAGTGTCTTACACATTGTGAGTGTAGCAAAGTTCTGTCACAAGCGACCCACACATTATGAGTGTAGCAGAGTTCTGTGACAAGTGACCCACACAATATGAATGTAGCAGAGTTCTGTGACAAGTGACTCACACATTATGAGTGTAGCAAAGTTCTGTCACAAGTGACCCACACATTATGAATGTAGCAAAGTTCTATGCCAAGTGACCCACACATTGTGAGTGTAGCAAAGGTCTGTCACAAGTGTCTCACACATTGTGAGTGTAGCAAAGTTCTGTCACAAATGACCCACACATTGTGAGTGTAGCAAAGGTCTGTGACAAGTGACCCACACAATATGAGTGTAGCAAAGTTCTGTCACAAGTGACCCACACATTATGAGTGTAGCAAAGGTCTGTCACAAGTGACCCACACATTGTGAGTGTAGCAAAGTTCTGTGACAAGTGACACACACATTATGAGTGTAGCAGAGTTCTGTGACAAGTGACACACACATTATGAGTGTAGCAGAGTTCTGTGACAAGTGACACACACATTATGAGTGTAGCAGAGTTCTGTGACAAGTGACACACACATTATGAGTGTAGCAGAGTTCTGTGACAAGTGACACACACATTTTATCTGTGACTGATGTATGTCTGAGCGACATATTTGATAACTACATTAAAACGGTGCTGTCAATGTAACTGAGAATTAAACAAAATATGTCATCGTTGCTGATTCACATTTTGTACATGAGAAATAAATGTTGAGTCATAAATTATCACCTTCTTCTGCTTCTTTAGCATTCTGAGCCCTTAAGATTCTTTGCTGCAGACATCACCCGCCTCCATTCATCTCTTTCCAGTTGGTAACTTCAAGTATTTGCAGATCTGTCTGTATATCTTTCCACAATCTTCTTGGTCTGCCTCATGGTCTTTGACATTCAACTCATAGAAATGTCTTTTACCTTACTTAATATTTTGTTTTGTGCTTTGTAGTGTAAAAATTGATTTTGCTTATTGAGTCTTACTTTCTGTATAAAGTGTCTATAATTTGAGCTGTTATTTCCTTTCTTTGTTGCTTCTCTTTATCTGTCTGTTCAGGTCCATTCATATTATTATTTTTTTTTTTTTACATGAACATTTGCTTTCTTCTTGATGCTTTTTCCCTTGGTTTAATTTTTTTTTAAAGTAAACAAAGCTTTTGCATTGCTTTATTTGTGGGATGTGTCGTTGTTACCTTTCTGACTGAACTTTGTTTATGACAGATACATGATCCAGGCCGACAGAGATGGGCCGTTGGCCAGCATGGATGTCAAGGACTTTATCCTGACAGTGGGCTCCAGATCCCCTTCACCAGGGGGTGGGTCTGTGGCTGCTTTAGCTGCATCTCTGGTAAGATGTCCCTAACTTCTGGGATTCTGCTGCAGTAACCAGTATAATTAAATTATGTCTCTGCAGTCAGTGTAGAAACTGACCACTGGGCAGCCGGAAGTTTCTGCCAGTCATGAAGAGATAACTACAACAATGTTGCTACTGTATCAGAGGGTCAGCCAGTGTATCCAGCCAACATTACTAGAGAACTGGACTGAAGTGAGTATTTTCAACTGGATTAACCCTGCCACCCCAGAGAAGACTAACTCTAGTCACTTCTGCTTGTGACACAGTTTAATAGGCCAGGATATGATTATATTACATTAAAATAGCATGTGGGGGGGGGGGGGGGGGGGGGGGGGGGGTTCTCACAAACCAAGTGGCTTTTTTCAAATTGTCCATAAGTTTTAATGAAAGAGGTCACAGGGTCATGACCTGAGTCACCTGATACATTTTGGTTTTTTCCCTCTTAGGCGCTGGAAAATGTGTTCCATTGAATGCTTCACTCTCTTCGTTTTTATTGATTACCCCTTTTTATATCTTTATGTATTTCGAGGTCAATATATATATAAGAAATTTGTTAAAAACATTGTTAGTGACCTGTTTAATACAGTTATTTGTTTTATGGATGTTTTTTCTAGAAATTCCCCAGAGCAGTGTTTCTCAAACTTTTCTTAGTCGCGGCACCTTTTTTTTTCAGTTAAAATTTTTCCACTGCGCCCAAACCTAAGTAAAAGTATAACTATTTGTGTCTTAATTAAATTAGTTATGAACTTTTACAATATTTCGCAGCACCCCTGTGAAGAGGTCGCGGCTCCCCGGGGCGCCGCAGAGCACAGTTTGGGAATCACTGCTGTAAACTATGTGACCCATTTTTTTTTTCCCCATATTCCTGGGGCGAAAAGGTTAATCAGTGCCAAGAGTTGGAATGCAGATGTTCAGATTGCAGGTCAGAGAATGTCTGGCTGAGAAGTTAATGTCCACCTCAGGCTGGAGTTTGAATTCTGACTTGAAAAGTTGAATGTGACCTTTTCTAATGTATGGATGTGATTGTTGGACATTGAATGAGAAAGTGGTGGTGTAGTTTTTTATAAAGAATGTTGAAAATAACGCTGACAGAGAAGAATGAAAATATTTTATTTTCAAAGGGTTAAGAATTGGGCATGCAGAAAGAAAGTATAATACTGAGGTATTAAAATATGTAACTGTTATAAGATCATTCATCAAACCGTATAGAAAGGACCAATGGAATACAAGTGGCAGATGAGGAACAGTTGAACCGAGAAATTATTTGACGCAACATACCAGGTATTGATACCCAGCCCTTACTAACCCGAGTAGATCAGTAACAGTTACGATGGTTTGGACATGTATGCAGAATGGGAGAAAATCGGCCACCATGGCAAGCATGGGAGGCTAAGAACCAGGGAACCAGACCTCCGGGACGACCCAGGGTGCGCTGGGAAGACAACATCCGACAGTCCCTAACTGACAGAGGACTGGAATGCAACAAAGCCAGAAAGAAAACTGCTGATAGAGACATCTGGCAATCTCTCTGGCAAACCTCTACACCCCAAGGTAGAAGAGGAGCGACTAAGTAAGTAAGTAAGTAACATACCAGGTAAGAAGAAGTCAGTGGATGATGTTTATGGAAAGAACGTGCTAAATGATCGTCTAAGCAACACCAGCTTCATCAAAATACAAAAAACAGAGAGGATGGAGAGTCATAAGCGCTGATGTCTGGCCCAGATTTGCCATCTGCAGTAGACGTATGTCATAAACACATTGATTCTGCCCCAGTTGGTAATACTTACCACAGCTATCTGCTCTTGGTAGACTTCAAACATGGTGATTGACAGATTGTTCTGTTTTTTGTGTGTGTTCCATTGCTTCAAATGTTATGCTTTGTGCAATTCCTGTTTTTTGTACTTGTTTAGGGTGCTGCCTTAGGCTCCATGGTGGGTTTTCTGACATATGGAAACCGTAAATTTGCTGACCTTGACCCAAAGATGAGAAAACTGATCCCTCCGCTGTACAAGGGCATGAAGGATCTGATTCCTTTCATTGATGCAGATGCTGCAGCGTTCAGTGAGTTTATGGTGAGTTTAGTACTGAGGTGTCTTGTTCTTGTATCATAGCTGTCCGTCTCACTGTTGACCATGGCGAGGTCACCTTAGAATGTTTCAGAGATGTCCTTTGTGACTTGTGTTTAAATCTGCAGTGTCCACATATCCTGCTTCGTACATTGTATCAAAATGATTTAAGTAACTGAAGAAAACACTACGGGGGGGGGGGGGGGGGGGAGGAAATATGTCCCAGGAATTTATATGTGAGCACCGGTAATAACTGTGGCAGAAAAGGAAATCTCAGAACTAGAGGAAGAAGAAGAGCACCACAGAAGAGACATGTAACAGCAGACCAGAAACGCAGGTGACGTTTCTCCCCTCAGCAGTGTGGGAACCTCATTGACCTAGAAGCCGACAGACATGGCTGGCACGACAGGAAAACTCAGGAATAACTATATGCCACAAAAAATGAAACATGAAACTTCACAAAGACCAAAGATCACAAATTTAGCAAATGCTTACGCAGAAATGGGTTGAAAGTGGTTGTTACTTTTTTCTCTGTCAAATGAACAAAAAAACGAAGAAGGCTGTAAACCAGTGTGTGTACATAGAAATTGGTAACCAACTGTACTTTTGGTTAACATGTGTACTGATATTCAAGAGTGTATAAGGAACAAAAACGTGAAACATGTGTATATGAGCATGCTGACAAATACAAACTCACATACCTGACCTAGTTTTTCAGGCTGACAAATACAAACTCACATACCTGACCTAGTTTTTTTCAGGCTGACAAATACAAACATACATACCTGACCTAGTTTTTCAGGCTGACAAATACAAACTCACATACCTGACCTAGTTTTTTTCAGGCTGACAAATACAAACTCACATACCTGACCTAGTTTTTCAGGCTGACAAATACAAACTCACATACCTGACCTAGTTTTTCAGGCTGACAAATACAAACTCACATACCTGACCTAGTTTTTCAGGCTGACAAATACAAACTCACATACCTGACCTAGTTTTTTTCAGGCTGACAAATACAAACTCACATACCTGACCTAGTTTTTTTCAGGCTGACAAATACAAACTCACATACCTGACCTAGTTTTTCAGGTTAAATGAGCCTACTCTAGTTGCCAGGAATTATTCTGGAAAGAAAAATTGCCTAGCAAGATACTGATGGTGTAACCCATCCAGTTCTGACTGATCTGTAAAAGATATGGGACTAACACAGAATACCCAGTACACTGTTATACCTTTAAAAAAAACATTGTATTGCAAGTCAAAAGAAAATAACATTACATTGCAAGAAATTCTTAAATGTCTGCAGTCTTGAATATAAGAAAGAGGAATGAGAAATGCCTTCAGCACAGGGTTTAAACAAAATATGTTTACCGATTAACTGAGTTACATTAGGGCAGGAACCCTTGCAGTAGTGGACTTTCTGTTGCAGAATGTTGAGAAATTGACAATATTGTTCTTGTTCATGTTGTGAATATCCAGAGTAAGTGCATTTTCTCTCTAAATGTTCTTGAATTACATATAAAGTTGTATCAGCCTTCATTGTTGTCTTTATAAAACCTATCCCAATGAAACAGATGATTTGATTTGTGTAAGTTTCTTCTTTCTGACTCTGAGTTTGTGTTACCTGTTTGTTATGATTGTTGTTTACAGCTGGCAATGAAGCTGCCCAAATCAACAGTGGAAGAACGGAAACAGTGAGTACAGTTTCCTGTTGGTCCACACATCCTGTTAGAGAGTCTGTTGTCACAGTGAATCATAATTGTTTCACGGTGTGTTACATCTTGGCATGTGAGAGATTTTTGTTTTTAATTTACCACTTTATTTCATGAAATCTTAACTGTGTTTTACATCTTGGCATGTAAGAGGTTTTTGTTTTTAATTTACCACTTTATTTCATGAAATCTTAACTGTGTGTTACATCTTGGCATGTGAGAGATTTTTGTTTTTAATTTACCACTTTATTTCATAAAATCTTAACTGTGTTTTACATCTTGACATGTAAGAGGTTTTTTGTTTTTAATTTACCACTTTATTTCATGAAATCTTAACTGTGTGTTACATCTTGGCATGTGAGAGATTTTTGTTTTTAATTTACCACTTTATTTCATGAAATCTTAACTGTGTGTTACATCTTGGCATGTGAGAGATTTTTGTTTTTAATTTACCACTTCATTTCATGAAATCTTAACTGTGTGTTACATCTTGGCATGTGAGAGATTTTTGTTTTTAATTTAACATTTTATTTCATGAAATCTTAACTGTGTGTTACATCTTGGCATGTGAGAGATTTTTGTTTTTAATTTAACATTTTATTTCATGAAATCTTTCTCAGTCAATAATCTTCACTGTCTTTGTTTGTTTTTTTATCTAATTTCTTTCACAGTGAAATACTCATTTTCTACTGTCTTTATCCTTAACTGTTTCTGAGTAAAAGTGTTGTTTTTCTAAATATATACAATATTGCATAACCAAACATAATTGGTAGACATAATTATACATTATTGAAATGTAAAAAAACTAACTATTTTTATCTTCCAATTATAACACAGATGGGTTGAACAGGGTATTGTTGTTTAAATGACTGTTATTATCAAGTGTTTGATTTGCTTCGATTTTGGTAAAGGATAATTTTCTTTGCACAGTTATCTCTATAAGGGTCCCCGTCTGCTCTCATAGATCAGACAAGTATTATGTACCATATTTGTCTGTGTATAAGTCGATATGTTTCCCTGATTTTTTCAAGTTTAAAATTCATTGTCATCTTATATATGAAATGTTGCAATTAAATATATAAATAAATACACACTGCTCTCCATATTTTCCCCAGCCTCCCCTCACTATTTTCCTCATGACAAACACTGGTGTGGTACTCCCCCCCCCCTCCCCTCCCATCAGCTCCCCTACTCCAGACATTATCCATTCTACACAGATACCCCAGCCACCCCTGAGTGTTGCCTAGCAACATGCACTCTTCTGTTTGTGTACATGTTAGCTGCTGCATAGTTTGCAATGCACACTCCCTAACTACCATATTAGGACCTCTGTGAAGGTTCCATTCCTTTGATTTGGCCTTCTGTTGACTCTTTTTGTCAGTGTTTAGGGCAATCTTTCTGTCCCTGTGGCACTTCTTATTCTACAGGTTATAATAATACTGACTAGCTCCCAAACATAAAACAGTGTTACCTACCGTAATTACAATATATCAGTCAAGTTGTTTTGTGTGGTACTTAAACATGCGGTTATAAATCTACCAATGTTTTCAGTATTTAGTAAAATTGTCAAGTAGTTCTGTTTAGTGTTTGAAATATTTATTTCTTCATTTTGTATTTAAAAAAAATAGGAGTCTAACATAGTGTCTTACCCACAGAAAAATGCAGCATTGACTAGAATCACAAACACACACACACACACACACACACACACACACACACATATATATATATATATATATATATTTATATATTTATTGGTTTTCTAATAGCCAATGTTTTTTGGGGCCGGGGGACTAGTTGATTCAGCCTATCTTTCTATGTGATGTGAGTGGTGACTCCTGTGTATCTAATACCTTTCTGTAGTCTGATGTGAGTGGTGACTCCTGTGTATCTAATACCTCTTTTGTAGTCCAGTGTGGGTGGTGACTCCTGTATACCTACCTAATGGTTGTCCACCAACTGTCTGTCTGCAGGAGAGAGGAGGCCATGAAGCAAGGGATGTTGACAGCCGTGCAGGTGCCCATGTGTGTGGCTCAGATTGCCAACGAGTTGTGGCTTCACTTGAAAGAACTGGCTCAGGTTGGGAACCTCAACTGTAAATCAGACTTGCAGGTCAGTCAGGATCTGCCCCCAGGATATTTATAGAGGGGTTTTCACCTATGCATCTTCACACTAGACACATCAATAAACATTGAATGATTGGCTATGATAAGTGCCTCAGAAATTCATGACCCTACGTTACTGAGGCTCTGCCCTTGTGAGCCACACAGGTTTCTGTGTAGGATCTCTTTCAGTCTGGTGGTTGGAACTTGAGCACTAGGCCTGTCAGTCATGAGAGCTGATTACATTGACTGTTGCAGGTATAACCGCTGCCTTCATTATGGAGCCAACTGTTGTATTTTAATGCACTGAATCTAGTAATAATTCAGGATATCAAGTCTGGTGAGATAACTCTTACCGTCAATTGATGATTCATAAACTTGTAATTAACTCTTTGAGGACCGAATGCCATTTAAATTGCATTTGAATCCGTTACCTGTAGATGGAATGCCATTTAAATGGCTTTTCATAGAGACACTCTAATATTGTTTTGTTTGCTGGAAAATGAATTTGTATGACCATGTTTTTAAAAACTAGAATTAGCGATACAAATTCTTTTTGTTTCCGAAGCCTTGTGTGGTCATTGGAGCAGTTTATGATTTGTTTTAGATTTAATCCGAGCGATTGTGTGATTTTCCTGAAATGGCAGCTTTCAATACTTCAACATCCACTGCAGAGCTAAAAGAATGACAAAAACGCAGGCTTTAGATCTTATGCAGCAGTTGTTAAATGAAGAAGATAATTCTAGTAGTGATGATAACTTAGATTCAGAATGATTTGACAATGATGTAGATGATGACGATCTAGAATATAAAGCCATCTGCTGCAAAACACGCCAGACTAAATGGTAAGGGTAAGGGAAAGCAGAACAATAACAAAGCCAATAGAACTGCCCACACTGCTGCTGTTGTTGATGAATCTGAGCTGGATAAGCCAACAATAGTGTTGACATTATGATAAATAATAATGCTTATGCAGTATCTATTGCTGACAATGTTGTTTGGGATAAAGTTGAAGAAAATGTTTTGATCGAATTTTCCCTCTTTCGATCAGCTGTGTCTTTTTATTCAGGCACGATTGAATAAAAATTCAACACCACTGGACTTCCTATTCACACTGCTGAAAACTGATATCATTGATAGTCTTGTTGAAAACATAAATCTTCATGCAGTGGAAAAAATAAAGAAAAATACACCATTGAGAAAAAGATCTACATTGTCTGATTGGCAGCCAATGACCAGAGACATTTTTTTCAGTTTCTCAGTGTAGTGATAGCAATGAGAATAACACCGAAGCACGACATCAAAGATTACTGCTCTACAACGTACCACAGATTCACAGCATGGTTCTGGGTAATGCAACTAAAACAACAACCCACTGTCCTTGCAACTCCTAGACGGTTAGTTAATAATGAGCGGAATATCCCATGTGCTTCCCGGAGGAATAAACAATTTAAAAATAAAAATCCTGCATCCTACTGACCACAAATGGAAATTCCACACTTGAGGAATGCCAGAAAGGGATTTCAAAAGTTCAGAAACTTTTCACTCGTACAATATGAGTATGAAAAGCTGTGATCGTGTGGATCAAATGGTCTAGTATCGCAAAACTAACATATGGTGGGAAAAATGTGGATCATGGAAGTGACGCAGGTCAATGCTCACATCTTGTACATGTTATCCCATCATGCTGCCCCCAAGCGCATGTCTCGCACAGTTCAAAGATGAGCTCTTCAACTAACTGCGCTCTCAGCTCATGAAGTTCTAACAGACATAATTATTGCTGTGGCTCAGAGACCAAACAGAAAACCAGCCTTGTCCGACAGTCTTGTTGGGACAGCACATTTAGTTGATTACAGTGGTCCAGACAGGCAATGCATACACTGCAGTAATAAAATGATTAGAAAACACAGCAGTTATAACTGTGTAGGCAGTGCTGTCAAGCCTCACTTGTGCCCCAGTGCATGCTTTAGGGAAGTCTTCACCAGAATTGCCCTCATATTTCATGTGAATTTATTTTTAATTTGGTTGTTCTGAAATGTGACATATCTCACAGCAGTGGTCATAAAATCTAAAGTATTTAGACAAATTGTCTATAATAAAGACTGGCTGATGCATAAATGAATAGAGAAGGCATGTGAATTCTTATACATGGATAGCAATGTTGCTGAACAAGTTTATAAAAAGTAAGGTAATCACAACACTGCATGTCTAAAAAAAAAAAAGACAAAAAATTATGTTTGTCTAACATCCTCCAGTGTGGTGTAATTGTAAGATGTTTTTGTTGCAATACTGATCCGTAAATAGTTTACATGCATCCTGCATTAATTGTTCTTTAATTTGATGTATTGTATGTCCCTATAAAGCCAGTACTTTTTCTTCAGTAAGGGTATAGCTTTGTCATGTTGCTGTAAAACAAGTCAGCTAAAAAAAAATTTTTTTTGGTTTGGTAGCTCTAAAATTTGACATGTCACACAAGAGTGGTCACACAAGAGTCGTCACACAAGAGTGGTCACACACGGGTGGTCACACACGAGTGGTCACACATGAGTGGTCACACAAGAGTGGTCACACAAGAGTGGTCACACACGAGTGGTCACACACGAGTGGTCACACACGAGTGGTCACACACGAGTGGTCACACACGAGTGGTCACACACGAGTGGTCACACAAGAGTGGTCACACACGAGGGGTCACACACGAGGGGTCACACACGAGGGGTCACACACGAGGGGTCACACACGAGGGGTCACACACGAGGGGTCACACACGAGGGGTCACACACGAGGGGTCACACACGAGGGGTCACACACGAGGGGTCACACACGAGGGGTCACACACGAGGGGTCACACACGAGGGGTCACACACGAGGGGTCACACACGAGGGGTCACACACGAGGGGTCACACACGAGGGGTCACACACGAGGGGTCCCACAAGAGTGGTCACACAAGAGTGGTCACACAAGAGTGGTCACATAATTAAAAGTATTAAGAATAATTGTCTCAGATAAAGGCTAGCTGAAGCGGAATTGAATAGAGAAAGCATATGGATTCTTAGAAATGGATAGCAGTGTTTCTGATCAGGTAAATAAATAAGGTAAATACAACATTTTACATCTAAAAAATCTTCAAGTGTTTCTAACATCATCGAATGTGGCATAATTTTAAAATGTAATTGTTGCAGTAATGATCTTTGAATAGTTTACATGCATTCTGAATTTATTTCTCTTTATTCTGATATATTGTCTGTGTCATGTTGCAGTAAAAAAAAAATTCGGCTCAAAATTAATGCTGTCCGAACCCCAAAAGTAATGTCCTCCTGTAAGAGTTGATGCCAGAATTGACAATGTCTAGACTAGTGTATTAATTCAGGATATTAACTCTTTGAGTCCCAAGAAACGCATTATACGTTCATAGGTTACTGCCTAGAAGCCCAATGAACGCATGATGTGCCGATTTTACGTCTCTTTTGACTACTCCCTGGGCCTGTGATGCTAAACCCTCTGGGACTCAAAGAGTTAGGTCAGGTGAATTAACTCTTACTGTTAATTGATGATTCATAGACTTGTGATTAATGTGAGAATTGACAGTGTCTGGGTTGATAAATTAATTCTAAAATTAACTGATGTCTAGACTGGAGCACGCATCCTGGAGACTGGTGTCTGGGGAGCATATTATAATGTGATGACAAATCTGGAACAGATCGCCGATGCAGAGTTCACCACAAAGGTAACTGTCATCCCTTTGTTTTTTTTATTCTAGCTTTCTCCACATTGTCTTCCTCCCCATATTGTTCCTCCTTCTCCTCTTTCTGCTCATTCTTCTCCTGAATTGTTTGAAAGTTACAGCCAGCAGTTGCTTGCTTCAAGACCAGGGTCAGTTGTTAACCCTTTCGCTGCTGCGCCCTTCGCCAGCCAACGTAACCACTGTGCTAAGCAGGCGAGTGCTAATCCTTCCTCCTGTACTGAATACCTTTTTTCCCTCCAAAAGCAGTGTCGCACTTGCATCGCGCGGTAAAAATTGTACACCTAAAATAAAAACTCTTTGAAGGTGTGTGGTTGACCTTTGCGATGACAAATCAGATGCACTATGGCTACGCCATGAAAACTCATTAATAAAAAGAAAACACTATAAACAAACACAAAACACTTTAGTAAGCAAATACATATTTTTATTATTATTAATATCTTTTTGTGTGAAATATTTCAAAACAAGGTGCGACACACAATGCCAAATCACAGTCCTTGCATACGCATCTGGTTTCCCGCCGTTTTTTGCCTTTTCACACACTTTCTGGCTGGGAATTTCTTCTGTGATGTTATAGACTCTTTTATTGAAGGGAAATTACTTGGTACTAAACGAAGTAGCAGATCTTCACGTTTTTGTCCTCCTATACTTTTTTCTTTTCTCCTTGCAATATTTCTGTAGAATTTCTCTTACTTACATTAAGTGAAATTCGACAACAGGAGTGTTTTTTTCCCACAAATGCACAGTACACCAACCACACTGCACAAAAGAACAGGATAACGTGTAAGGCATCTAAATCCACCTGAACGCACGTGACAGGATGTTTAATTAATTAATACTTCGATGATTTGTTGCCGAAAGTGCTAAGAGCTTAAATATAAAATTTACATTTACAATAGTTTAAAAAAAAAAACAACAACAGCATGTAGGGGTTAAACCCAGGACCTATCAAATGCAAGGCAGAAGTGATACCAACTACACTAGATATTTATATAGAACAGAAAATAGGACCAATATTGTACACTTTGATAGACAGACACATTGATGTCAGTTGTATATTCAAAACAATAACATTAACATTAATCATCATGTCAGTACGTGACCATAACCAGATTTTTATCAATTTCCTATTACAGGTGAAAGCAGATATTGAATTAGCCATTGCCAAAGCTCAGAAAGAAAGAGATGAAGTTTTGAATATACTAGAGCAGAGAAAATCTTAAAGATGTCACCATGTCTGTAAATGTTCAGTGAAATCAGTTTTTTTAATTCAGATTATCCCCGGGTATTTTTTGAGGTAACAAAATGGAATATCAAACAATTTTGTTTTACATTTGTTTAAAACTTGTTGTTTTTGTTGTTACGATATACTTTTTTGAAATATCTGGCCACATTCAGTATATCTTTATATGAGACATTTGTGTCATTTTGAAATATATTGTGAAATATCTGGAAAAGTTGTCCATTTCTTGACTGGATATTATGTTGATACATCTGGCCAGCTGTGTACACACACACACACACAAAATTTACTCTCGGCATTGACAAAGGCAAGCATCATGTCTTTGTGTGTTTTATGTTCGCTAAATTGTTTGTATAATTAATTGGAGGTTCATTAAAAAATGTGGCATGTACTGTGTGACCTTTCAAGTGCACAAGTGCAACAAAAGTTAGAGTAATATAATGTTTTTGACCTTTTTTGTGATAATAATCATTAACTCTTTCAGTTCAGGGATGGGGTGGGGGGGGGGGGAGGGGGGAATTACTGTTGTTACCTTCAGACATTGACTTGGCATCCTAACAGAGAACATAAACCAGTGTGATGGGCTTTTGACTTGTCGGTAGTAGTAAACATTGACACAAATGATCAGTTGTAACATCACCAACTGTTGCCTTCCTTCTTCCAGTTTTTATAGTGCACAATCAGATCATTCCACTACTGCTTGTTTCAGCTTTTAATATTTGATTGAAACCAGTTGTCCTCACAGTTAAGTTGATGGTGTGAATTTCCTGTGCCCTTACAAATTAATCTGTGTCCCTGTAATTGCAGCAATCTTCACTTATCTCACTATGTCCCTGTATTTCCAGCAATTTTCACTTACCTCACTATGTCCAAAGAATTAACTTGGAAAAGAGAAGAAATCTTTAAAGCGCAACAATAGAAACATTACTCAGTCGGGGTTGACTGGCTTTCAGGTTATCAGTCCAGGTTCCAACCATCAGTTCATCCAAATAGCCACCACATAGTTAGTCTGTGTGCCAGTGATTACCACATAAAACATCCAGCACTGTTCCATATGCAACATCAGACAGCAGTTCTGGCAAGATCCAACAGCTTGTGCATGCATATGCTACTAAAGGTGTCAACATCAACAGTCAAGACAAACCAGCACATTACAAATTCACACACATTACAGCATAAGGCAGACCACCAATTCTGTGGCAATGAGCAACTTGCTATTTTCTGAATATGCTGTTTACAATAGTCAGCATAAAGTCACAATTTTTATGCTAAAAACATGAAACATCCTGTCACAGGGAGACTACTCTGACTGACCTACATTTGTCTTCGGGCACTGATGTGCACTTGCTAACTGGCAGCATTAATAATCAGTTTTTTAAACTATCCAGGACTGAACCTTCAGATAAATGACATGCCACCTTTTTTCAGGCCCAATCTGATTGAGTCATTTGCTGAGGAAGGTCATGAGAGAATATTTGTTTATCCAACGCAAGCTTGAAGAATTTGTGTCTGTCCTTGAGATGTATGTTGCAGGACCTGAGTTCTGCTTGTGCAGTTTGTTTGATCAGTTTGTGCAGACTGTTGGTTTCTTGTCTTTGTTTCCATGCCTGTCTGTCAGGCAGACACACCCAGCTTTGATGCAAGCATTGTTCCTCTCTCTCGGATGACTGGTCAGTCTGAAGCTTTTGTTGCCATCACGAGGACTCTCAACCAACAGACATCTGAACGTTTTTTTTTTTTAATGAGTTGTCTACAGGGGGTGGGGGGGGGGGGGGGTGGGGGGGGTGGGGGTAGGCTAATGAGTTTGTCTACAGACATTGTGGGGGTAGGCTAATGAGTTGTCTACAGACATTGTCACACTTGTAGTTGGGGGTAGGCTAATGAGTTGTCTACAGACATTGTCACACTTGTAGTTTAGGGTAGGCTAATGAGTTGTCTACAGACATTGTCACACATGTAGTTTTAGGCTAATGAGTTGTCTGTGTAGTTGGGGGGTAGGCTAATGAGTTGTCTACAGACATTGTCACACATGTAGTTTAGGGTAGGCTAATGAGTTGTCTACAGACATTGTCACACATGTAGTTTAGGGTAGGCTAATGAGTTGTCTACAGACATT